GCTGAGGGGAGGGGACCTGGAGAACATGATGGGGACCCCTGCAGAGGCAGGTCTGGCCTCTGCCCTCCAGCCCTTCTCTCTGGCTTCCCCAGGAAGAGCATCTGCTGGAGCCCAAAGGGGCTGCTCCCCAGCCGTGCCAGGGACAGAAGCCCTGGGCGGTCACCCTCCTGGGCACTAAGTCATTTCCTTGGCACTTGAGAGCCTGGCTCTAGTTTCTAGGCTGTTGAGACACCTGCTGTGGCTCCTGTGGAGACCAGCCGGTGCTCCCCTCCCATCTCAGCATTTGTTCAGGGAGTGGCCCAGGAACTCCGGGGGCTGCGCAGAATGACTAGCAGTGTCCGATGGCTCACAGTTGCCACTTCTCCCGGGGGAGCTATTCCAAATGCAGCTCCTCCCAGGCTCAGGCTCTGGGCAGCGGGTCTGAGGTGCACCTGTGAGAGCTGCTCCCGCTGAGACCTGGCTCTTACTTGTCTGCACAGCTGTCCATGCGCCTCTGGTGGCAGGGGAAGCAGGCGGAGCAGCATGGCCCATGGACCCTCCAGTGGTGGGCCAGCTGAGCACAGTTCTTTTTTTTCTTTTCAGGGTGTTAAAAGAACAAGAAGGCCCATTTGGGGGGGGGGGAGTTGTTCTATTACAATTTTTTTTGTTAATCTTCACCCAAGGATATATTTTCCATTGATTTCTGGAGATTGTGGAAGGGAAGGAGAGGGAAGGAAAGTGGGGAAGAGAGAGAAAGAGAGAGAGAGAGAGAGAGACCAGTGGGAACAAGACACATTGATTGTTTGCCTCCCACACATGGAATCCACACCGGGATTGAACCAGTCACCCTTTGGCGGGTGGGCCACTGTTCTAACCATTGAACGACTGGCCCAGACTAATTTGTTATATTTTGAATGTCCAAGGGCACTTGGTTATTATCTGCTTGGTTATTAGCTGATATGAGAAGATAACAGTATGTAACCCTTGTTTCATAAATGCATTATCTTCTACCTCCCTGAAAACTTGCTCAAACTTCTTCTACTTCTCATCATTGATGGTTGAATAGGTTTGAATAACTTTTTTTTTTCATTTATTTTTACGTTGGTTTCTAACTTTCCAATTCAATGCTTTCCTGGTCTGCCCCAACAGTTTTCTTCATATGTAAGAGGAAATCACTAAATTTTGGGCTGGTTTATGCCAAAAATTACCGTCATAAACAAGTACACTTAGAGAGCAGAAGAGAGATTGATAGATAGAAACATCAATGAGTGAGGAACATCATTGATCAGCTGCCTTCTGCACACCCCCTACTGGGGATTGGGCGAGCAACCTGGGCATGTGCCCTGATTGGGAATCAAACCAGGGACCTCTTGGTTCCTAAGTTGACACTCACCTGTTGAGCCACACCAGTCGGGTGCAAGAACACTTTTCTAAGGAACAGAAACAACAGTTCAAATGCGGACTCGCATCTGTCAGCCTGGTTGGCTGGTGGACTAGTTGATTCTGTTCTAAGATGACTAGGCGGAGACCTGGGCCTCCCAGATGCCAGTCCTCTGTTTTGCTGGGACCAAAGGTTCTCTAGAGATGGATCCTTCACACTCCTCCTGGGGTGACCCCGACTGCAGGAGGGAGAGGACAGCCTGGGTCCTGACCGTGTGTCCAGCCTCCTGGCTCTCACCACCTTCCTCTGAGCTGGGTGACCCTCTTCAGCCCCTGCCAAGATCTGAGTTGCCTGGGTCCCTCACGTTCAAGGTGGCCCCATCTGCATGTGTCCTGCACAGTGAGGTGGCTTCACCCAAGCACCAGAACAGGGGGTTGCACTTTTCCCCAAGCTCCTCTTCTTCATCCCCTCCATCTGATTCCCAGTGGCCCCTCACCGATGCCGTCTCCTCCTTTGCTGTGAGCTGATACCATGCATTTGTCTGCTGCTGTGCTGTCGCTGAGGCTGGGTCTTGGAGGATGGGCATGTTGGCTGGTCCCGTCCCCCGCCCTGCATCACTGGATGGCCTCTCGGTTCCTATTCCCACAGCTTTATGGTACCAGCTGCCTAGTTTGCCTCACTCTGCCCTGTGGCTTCCTGGGACACCCCCACCTGTATTTTCCTCCTGGCAAACTTGGGGGTCACTTTGAATGTTCCTGACTTGCCTGCAGTTCACATTCTATGGGGATTTTGGAAGAGTTGATATTGGATGACACCGTCTCCTGTTAACAACATTGAATGACATTTTATTTCGTGTGAGTGTCCTCCTCAAGGAAGTTTTGTGGTTGTCACGGACTCTAGATTAGGAATGTATGGACCTGGCCGTGAATGGAGTCTCTACCATATGGCATCGCATTAGTTATGCCTGGGGTTAAAGATGAGTTTCTCTCCTGATTTGTGTGTAAAACATTTGTCTTCCATCTAGACACTTTGGGAAACTTAATCTTAGCACCTTTTCATTGAGGCTTTTGGCTTTTCTGGGAGGAAGATCATATTATCTGCCAATGATAGTCATGACATTTCCCCCCCGCGCCAGACCCTCAAACTTCTTGTTTCTGTTTCAGGCAGATCTGCTCCTAATGCCCAAATGCCGTTTTTTCCCAGGTCTGGCCCAGCTGGTTATCGCCCAGCCTGGTGCCAGTGGAAGGGAAGCCTGGGTCCAGCATCAGGCTGGGCGTTGGGGCCTGTTGCCTCTCGCTGACACCGCTGTGACTTGCCTTCCTGTCATCTGGGCACAGAACCAGCCCCAAACCCACATCCACGGTTGAGGTGGGTAATGGTGGGGGCTCTGTCCAGACCAGAGGCAGGGAGGGAGGAAGCCCCCCATTATCACCCAGAGGTCTCATCCCTGGGCCTGTGGGACTTGCTGGGTCTGGGAGCCCAGCCCCTTCCCTCCTGGGTGCTCGCTCCCCCCACCACGGGGCCGGCCTGGCCATGTTGGATCCTGGTTGTTTCCTGTGGAGATCCCCAGTGTCCCCTGAGGATTCTGGGTGCCCCCGGAGACACCAACATCTCACAAGGATGACAGGGACTCTGGCCCAGGAGGGAGTGATGGGTTTCTAGAGACCTGAGCTCATCTAGGTGCTGCAAACATCCCTTGATGGTCTCCTCACTGGGCTCACGGGGCACAGAGGACCGGGTGTGGTTCAGGTGTGGGAACCCCTCTTCCTTCTCCTCTCAAACCACTGTCTGGTCCTGTCCCATGCTTGGTGGAGAATGATTCTCAGAATGTCAAAGGGCAGAAAAGTCTGTCCCTTGTCGGTAGCCGCCCTCTGCCTGGGATTAAACTTGGGGGACAGAGCTCCCCCATTCAGAAAGCAGGGAGTGTGAGAGGGGGGTGGCTCCCAGAGCTGTGGGGGTGCAGGCATGTGCAGGAGGTGAGGAGAGGTGAGGAGAACTAACACTAAATTGGCACCTCTCACACCCTTTTGTGTATTTTGACAAAGCTTGATCAAGCATAGGATGTATGAGGAAAGCTGAGCAGATGCCTGAGTGTCCTGGGGCGGCCGTTGCAGATGCCACAGACCCGGACCTTTAAAGAAAACTTTATTCTGTCACAGTGTTGGAGGCTGGAAGTCTACAATCAAGGTGTCAGCAGGTCCCACAACCTCCAAAGGCTCCAGGGAAGCTGCCTCCCCCATCTCATGGTGTTGCTGGCAAACTCTGTCTGCAGGTCCAGCGAGTCTGTCGTTTTTGGGGGACACTGTGAGCCTCAAAAGAAGGAGAGGATAGAGCGCACTGGGCATGCTGCTCTCCTCCCCCCTCCCCCCGCCCCTGCTCTTGGCTCAGGTGCCAGCCCGCAACCCATCCGTGCTCTGCTCTGTGTTGTTTCAGAGCATCTGATTACTTATCATTTATTTAGTTCCTCACCGAGGACATGCTTATGGATTTTAGGGAGAGGCAGGGAGAGAGATGTGAGAAGCATCCATCGGTTGCCTCTTGTACGTGTCCTGATCGGGGAATGAACCCTCATCCTAGGTATGTGGTCTGACTGGGAATTGAACCTGAGACCCTTCAGTGTACAGGACGATGCAAAGCATCTCTTTTCTTTCTTTTTCATGTGCAAACTGTCATCTTACCACTGAAATGTCTCCAGACCAATATTTTTATTATTTTTATTTTTTGTTAATCCTCACCCAAGGATATTTTTCCATTGATTTTTAGAGAGAGTGGAAGGGAGAGGGAGAGACAGAGGGAAATATTGATGTGAGAGAGACACATTTGTTTACCTCCTACATGAACCCCAACCAGGGTCGCGGAACCTGCAACCAACGTATGTGCCCTTGACCAGAATCGAACCTGGGACCCTTCTGTCCATATGCTTATGCTCTATCCACTGAGCCAAACCAGCTAGGGCTCCAGCACCAATACTGAGTGTCTTCTCAGAGAGGAAACACCATATTTCTTATCTGATAGCTGGTCTGTTGGTCACCACTGGTCCCACTGAAGAGATAAGCCCCACCTCCTCCCATGCCCCACCCCAAAGGAGGGCGGCTTCCCATTGGGCCTGTCTGGGCAGGAGGATAAAGGGGCTCAGAGGGTCCAGGACAGAAGGCAGACAGACCTGGCATGGTGAGCACCCTGCTCAAAGCCCCATCCTCTCCCTTCCCAGGCTGTGTCTCTGCCCCACATCTCTTCACTGGCTCTCCTCCCTGCACTCTCCCCCTGCAGATGCTGTGGCTGCTGGTCCTGACTCTCCCCTGTCTGGGGGGCTCCGTACCTGTGACCTCAGGTGGGTCCTGACCCCCAAGCCTGGCTTTTCTCCAATTCCCTGACTGACCACTCAGAGGCCGCCCTGGGATGGGTGGCGATCCCCCTCTGAGGGTGGCTCTGGGAGGGACTGAGGATGGGGCCATGCTGAGTGCCGGGCAGCGGTGTCTGGGTCCCTGATGGCTCCTCCTCTGCTTCCCCAGATCCCGGCCCAGGGACTGAGCTGGTGGGCATCATATGGGGGCATGATGCTGCCAATGGGGCATGGCCATGGCAGGTGGGCCTGTGGGTCTTAAATCCAATAAATTCAAAGTGGATACTCCATTGTGGGGGCTCCCTCATCGATCAACAGTGGGTGCTGACCGCTGCCCACTGCATTCCAGGGTAAGTCTGACTCTGCCAGCACCCGGTGAGGGGGGTGGACAATGTCGGGAGGCATGTGATGTGTGTTGGGGGCAGATGCTGGGCTGAGTGGCTGCAGACCCCCCACCAGGATTCAGCTTCCTGGCGCTCCCCTTGCCCACCACAGAGGGAGGTCTCTGGGCTCTGAGGGGCTGGCCCACTCCCTGCCACAGCCTCTCAGAAGCCTTTGGCCTGCTGTCCCCAGGAGAAACCCAGTGACTCGGCACTTTAAGGTCCAACTAGGACGACTGAGACCCTCATACAGTGACAGTGTGCAGGTGGCCAGGATCATCCGCCACCCCAAGTACAGCCTTGAAAATGAAGCAAAAGGTGGGGCGGACGTGGCACTTCTCAAACTGGAGGCCCCCGTGCGACCATCTAACCTCGTCAGGTGGATCCGCCTCCCGCCAGCCTCCTCCGCATTCCCCCCAGGCACACGGTGCTGGGTGACTGGCTGGGGCGACATTGCTTTTCAAGGTAAAAACCAGAACCAGGATGACACCAGGGCCATGCAGGGGGCGGGCCGGGCTTTACAGAGGAGGCTCAGCTGGGGTCTGAGCTGGGTCCCTCCGGGGTCTCCCTTGGGTGTAGGAGGCAGACAGCTCGAGAGGAGTCTGTTAAGGAGCGGAGACCAAAGTAGCAAGAGTGAGGCATTTCAATGGGCATCTTTTTTTAAAAAAATATCACTCAGGGATATTTTTTCCATTGATTTTTAGAGAGAGTGGAAGGGAGGGGGAGAGAGAAACATTGATGTGAGGGACATATCTATTAGGTGCCTTCGTGACTGGGGCTGGGGATTGAACCTGCAACCCAGGTACTTGCCCTTGACCAAGAATGAAACCTGGGACCCTTCGGGTCAGTGCTCTAACCACTGAGAAACCCTGCCCAGGGTGCCATGGGCATTTCTCTCCCTCACTCTGCACCAGGCCGTGTCCTCCCTTCCGGGGGTCCCCGTTCTCCCTGAGTCTCGATAGTGGGATGGAGAACGAGGAGAGAGAACTTCAGTGACGTGCTCCAGGATTCACGATTAAATGGACAAAGTCAAATTTGACAGTAGGGCCGCTCACTCTGCATTTCTTGGGGAAAGCACCTGCTCTGATTTTTCCCAATAAAAATTATTTCTGCATAAAAATATATTTCCCTGTTTCTTTTTGGAGCTTGGTGCCCACAGTGTCAGCCTAGAGATTATCAGCCCATTGACCTTGAATTAACGAGACAGTTGGGGTCTTGGGTGACTCCCTGGGTCCCCCTGGGGGCACTGAGGCTCAGCGTGTGGTTCTAGAACCCGCGGCCTGTGACTGTCCACCCCCTCAGGACCACAGGCTCACTGGGCTTCTTCTCACAGAGCCGCTGCCAACGCCCCACAATCTGCAGGAGGTGGAGTTCTCCATTGAGGCGGATGAGATATGTAGGCAGCAATATGGCAATCTTATCAGGGACGAAATGCTGTGTGCCGGGACCTGGGGACGGGGCACCTGCCAGGTGAGACCCCCAGACTGTGGCCTCCGTCCGTTGCTCCTGCCTGCAGGGGCCCTGAGTACTGACCACCTGTCTCCTCTTCCCACAGGGTGACTCTGGGGGCCCCTTGGTCTGTAAATGGAGGGGTACCTGGGTCCAGGTAGGCGTGATGAGTTGGGGGCCCGAGTACTGTTTTGCCAACTTTCCTACAGTCTATGCCCGAGTGACATCCTTCTTGCCTTGGATCCGCCATCATATTCATTCCTCTCCTTGACCCGGCATCCGGGTAAGGATGATGCCCATGAGATGAAGACAGGCCCTCCAGGGTGTCTGGGGGACCCTCCCTGCTCCCTCCCAATGGCAGCTCTTCATTGCACCTAGCGCGTCTCCTCCCTCCCCCCACCCCCCACCTGCTCTGAGATCCTCCTGCCTCAGCACCTCCATCAGCCTCTCTCCCCTGACAGGCAAAAGGGAGAGGTGGGATGTGCTCTGAAGTCCAGTGGGCCCTGCAGGACTCCTGCCTCCTCCCCACCCCCTGTAGCTCATTAAACTGCATGAAAAACTGCTCTGGACTCAGTGGACTTACCTGTGGGCGTGGCCAAGGCGGCCAGTGGGTGGTCCGTGCTGCTGGGGGAGCCCAGGCTCTGGGAGGGGGACCAGGTGGGATGAGCAGCTATGGCTGCAGCAAGGAAGAGGGCGACCTGGCGGCTCTCCTGGCTGGGGTGGAGGTGAGTCTGCTGCCCGGGGCTGGAGGCCACAGCCTGGAGGGCCGCCCCAGAGGGTGCAGACCGTCCCTCTTCCTCCTTCAGTAGCAGTCAGTGTGTCATGGAGGCTTTAATGACTTGGACGTGGCCGCATGCAAACAGGAGGTGCTGTGTTTCCATGGTCACCACTGCTCCCTCTGACCCTGCGGCGCCGAATCCCCATTTTCCAATGTGATCAACTCCTGGGACCAAATGAAGTGCAGCCTCATTTCCACCCAGATCCTCAGTCTCCCACTCTTAGCTTCTCCCAAGCAGGGCAGACCTGCAGGGGCCCAGGACCAGCCAGTCCTTCTCTTCCCCGTCCCCACCCTCCTGCTTCCCCCAGCTCCCGGGTCCTGGTTGGTTGGAGGCAGCAGAGAGGAGGGAAGAGATGGGACCCCCGCCCCCCCCAACTCCCCAGGCTGCTGTCCTGGCGCTGGCACCCCTTCTGGAGATACACTGCTGTGCATGGTCCCCTCAGGCTCTGCAGAGCCCCTCCTTTCTCCAGGGGGTGGGAGGAGCTCCCAGTGGACAGAGGAGCTTCAGTTTCAAATCCAGGGAGTGAGAAGGGGCTGTGGAGCCCCCCCTGCCCCAGGCACTTCCTGCAGGACTAGGACTTGGGGGGCATGGTTGGAGCCGGCTGGGGTGGGTCCTGCACCTGAAGGTTGGGGCCAGGACCCAGGAGGGCCTGTGGAGCCTGAGGCGGCCTGTGTGTGGGTGAGGGGGCTCCATACCCTGCAGCGACAGGTGGTCCCCAGTCTGATTCTACAATGGGGTGGCGGCCTTCCAGACCTTTCAGTGCCAGGACCCCTGCCCCCCGAGGCCAGGATGGAACAGCCCTCCTCTGTCACTGTGACCTGGTCCTTAGGGGAGGCCTGGACTCCGAGTTAGGGAGAGTGGAAGCTCCAGGGCAGGCAGATCAGGAGCTGCGTCCCCCATGTGCCCTGAAGTCTGGGTTCCTGGCAGCCAGGAGCTCTCCAGGAAAGCCTTTTCCTGGGAAAATGAGGCCTGAGACTCAGCTGGAAGGCACCACCATGCAGATGGCCCCCTTGGGGATCTGCTCTGCCCAGGGAGGGAGGATGGGGTGACACAGCACAGCCTGGCCCTGTGCCCTCGCCCTTGGGTTCCAGGCACACGTTCTGCCTAAGTGACTGCCTGTCCACGGGGCCCTGTGGGTGGGTGGCTGCCAGGTGGTCCACACACATCCAGGTCCCCTGTGCCCCCCAGGAGGGTGTGGGCTGCCTGCCTTGCCATTGGGCTCTGGGGACTGTGAGACTTTGTAGAGCTCTCCTCCCTGGGTGAGGGTGTAGTCAGACCTTTAGTGTTCCTAGGAGTAAGATTGAGGGTCTGAGTGACTCAGAGGCCAGCGCTCCCAGGGGAGGGAGAAGGACCTTGAACTTGGTGTTGGAGGGAAGGCTGGAGTGAGACACGCCTGGGCCTGGGGCTGTGTCTGCAGGCATGGCATGGGGTGGACCCGCAGGGCTGTCTCTCCAGAGGATGAGAGGATGGGCTCAGGGCTGTTGCCCTCCCCCCACCCGCCCCCCTCTACTTGCCTGGAATCACCACCCTAGCACAGTTTCCTGGGTTCAGCAGTAAGGGAAGCTGGGCGGAACCAGATACCTGGGTGGAGATGGAGGGGCCTTTTGCCTATGGCTCTGAAATCTGTTCTGACTGAGCCCTGCGCCCACATGGGTGGGTGACACTGAGCCAGCAGGGCTGTGTCCCCATAAAGAGACCCCTACAGGCCAGGTCAGTGTCCATGGGGACCCTGGGAAGGGCCCACAGGCGTTGGCCTCTTCCCCTTGTCTGAGGTGAGAGAGACACCTTCAGGGCTTGGAATGGAGACTCCATGCAGGGCCATGCCCTTCCAGGTGGACATCACACCTCAGTCACCACCAGGCTCTCCCCCTGTGTGGTGTCCTGGGGTCACAGTGACAGCCCCCGACTGGGGAGTGTGTGCTTAAAACAACACAAATGCATCCTCTTACCGGCTGGAGGCCAGGAGCCCCCAATCAAGTTGTTCTGGGGCCACACCTGTTCCCAGGCTCCTGCCTCCTGCAGCTGCAGGTGGTGCTGGGACCCTTGGTTGAGGAGGAACCTCTGGACTTCCACCCCGTCTTCCCCACCCGTCTGTGCTCTCCGCATCCTCACCTCTTCCCACAAGGAACCATCATTGGATTTAGGGCCTCCCCCCCTCCACTCTGACAACATCTGAACTAGTTGCATCTGCACTTATTTCTAAAGCAGGTCAGGTTCTGAGGGACCGCACTGGTCCACACTGACTCCCTCACTGGTGAGGTTACAGGCCACCAGGCTGTGTGCTCCTGAGAGGGGGAGCGCACCCCTGAGGAGGCAGGGGCCTGGCCACAGGAAATCTTTAGGATTCCCACGGCCCAGCACCCAGGGGCCCCCATCAAACAACAGGCCAGTGAGGGCCTCTGCCCCTCTCAGGGAAGCAGCGTGCTCCCCACCTCACAGCGCCCTCCAGCCCGTGACGCTGGCCACACAACAGGCTGCCGGCTCTGAGTGGTCCCAGCGCTGGACAGGGCTCTGCTGCAGGTCCAGCTGCACTGGCGACACAGGACGCAGCAGACACGATGGTGGTAAAAGTATTGGTGATGGGCAAGCCCGACGGCGGGCAGGACAAGGCAGGCCATGCAGCCTGCACTGAGGAACATTCCTGAGATGTGAGTGACAGCTGATGTCTGGGTTCATTGAGCTCCTTGTATATGGAGGCCAGGGAGCAAGACGTGCCACCATCTTGGTGGGACAATGACACTGAGCACCAGGCAGAGGCAGGGCTGCTGTGTCACAATGGGGGGCAGGGAAGGTGAGGGCCCTTGGGTGACTTTTGCCACCTCCTCGTCAATGTGATGGCAGGTGGACAGGTGCAGCCACCAGACCTGAGAAGTCCCTGTGACCAGAGCTCAGCCCCTCAGGGATGGGGGTCTGGATTGTGCTGCCAGGTAAGTCCCAGAGTCCCAGTTAGTAGCAAAGGGTGGGATCCAGGTAGACAGTGGAGGGGCCCTGTCAGCCTCAGTTGTACCCTGAGTCTCTGCTTCCCAGTTTCCTGGGCAGGGACTCCTCTGTGGTCCTGCGGCCGCCTCCTCAGCACACAAGACAGAAGGTGGTGGACGCTGCCAGACACAGATGCGGGCCAGGTCCCCTCTCAGGGCAGGACTTGATGGGAGACCTGGCAATTCCTCTGGCTGCCTCGCTCCGGCAGGTCCCTCCTGGCTAGCACAGGGAGAGGCGGGGTGTGGGCACTGTGTCCCAGTGGGGCCGTGGTCTGGGTCTCCCTGAGGGCTGGTCAAGGTGTCATCAGCCAGCACTTTGCTCAAGGCTCGCCCTCTGTCCATCTCTGCTCCGTCCACCTACCTCCCAGGTGCCTCTCCCTGACTTGTACCCACATGAAAGCCCATCTCTGTGCAGCTTCTGGAGAGCACCCTGCAGAGGGCAGTGTGCATGGCCTCAGCTGGTGGCAGTGAGGGTGGCCACAGGACACGTGCCAGGCAGATGGCATGCTCTAGTCAGATGGTGGCAAGCTCCACGCTGCCTCACAGGGTCCAGTGGAATCAGGGACTGCCCTGTGGCTCAAGGGCCCAGCAGCAGCTCTGGGGCTCTGCCTCCCTGAGCCCGTCTGCCTGAGCCCAGTGCTCTGGGGCTTCTTCCAGCAAAACTGCTTGGCAGCTCTCCTTGCTCAGGCCGCCGGCCTGGCTGTGCTTTGTGGCTGAGATCCGTGCAGCCAGAGATGGCTGCTGCCCAGTGAGAGCAGGTGGCAGGTCTGGGGGAGGCAGTGCCAGGGCCCAGAAGCAGCTCCTCGCCGCCTGCTGACTGACCCCCGACCTGGGTGGGCCTGAGAGAGGAGCAGCTCTCTCTGCCCATGGCCCAGCCAGGGGCCCCCGCCTGCCCTTCCTGTGCCCGGGGATGAAGGGGTGCAGAGAGGGTCCCAAGGAGGGTCCCTTCAGGTGAGGATGCCCCTGCTCAGACCCCGGCTTCTCCATCCCCACACAGGGACCCCGGCTCCTAGTGGTCTCACCCAGGCCCCTGCCATCCCCGCAGATGCTGTGGCTGCTGTTCCTAAGCCTCCCAGGCCTGGGGGGCTCCGTGCCCTAGTTCCCAGGTGAGTCCTGACTCCCTGTCCCCATCTTCTGCTCAGGCTGCCCATGTCCCTCACCGTCAACTCAGGGTGGGCCTCCTTGGTTGGTCCTCGGAGAGACTGAGTGCGAGGGGCCCTGCTGGGTCTCTGATGGCGTCCCCTGTGTTCCCAGGGCCCAGCTCAGGGAGGCAGCAGGGTGGCCCCGTGGGTGTGCACAATGCCCCTGCGGGGAGATGGCCTTGGCAGGTCAGCGTCCGAAGGTACAATAAGGAGCTGGAGCTGTGGCAGCACCTCTGTGGGGGCTCCCTCATCCACCACCAGTGGGTGCTGACCGCAGCCCACTGCACCCAGCGGTGAGCCACGCAGCCCGAGGCCCCCTGGCAGGGGTGGGGGTGGGAAAATCACAGAGCGCTGATGGGGAGGGGGGCTGTGGGCAAGGCCCTTGATGGGGAGCGGTGGGTAGCATGGGAGGGGGGAAGCCACAGTTAGTGCAGCCCCAGCCCTGCTGCTGTGCCTGGACTGGCCCTGCCCTGGAGGCTCCTCTGAGAGGCTCCTGGTCCCTCTCCCCAGGGAGGACTGGGGGGCCTATGGCCTCAGGGTTCAAGTTGGGCAGCTGAGACTCTATGACCATGACACACTGACAACTGTGACTAAGATCGTCCGCCACCCCAAGTTCAACCAGAGCCTGTCTGCAGAGGGGGGCGCGGACGTGGCCCTGCTGACACTGGAGGCCCCTGTGTTTTCTTGTGGCAAAATGTGCATAACATTATACATGACATTGGTCAGTGCGCGGTTCAGTGGCGTTCAGCACATTCACCATGTTGTGCGGCCTCAGCACCACCATCTCCAGAACTTCTCCTCCTCACACACGAAGCCTGGTCTCCATGACATGGTCACTGCCCCTCCCCAGGCTCTGCCAACCACGGAGCTCCTGTCCTCTTCTATGCATTTACCTGTTCTGGGCGTTTCATGTAAATGTGAATCATGCAACGTGTGGCTTCCGCGTGTTTGCCTTCTTTCACATGGGATGACGTTGCCAAGGCCCAGCTGTGCTGTAACCTGTGTCAGAACTGCATCGCTTCTTGTGGCCGAGTCACATCCCACTGGGTGGAGGGAGCATTTTGTTGTCCTTCCTGAGTGACAGACCGTCTCCACCTTTTGGCTGTTGTGAGTCACGCTGCTGTGACCTGTGTGTTCAGGCACCGCCAGGGAACCTGTTCTCAAGTCGTTAAAACATTTTTCAATGACAGTTTCTATTCAATATTATTTTGAATTAGTTTGAGGCGTACAGCATGGTGGGTAGACAATCATATACTTTACAAAGTGTCGTTCCCCCCGATATTTCCATACCCACCGGGCACCATCCACAGCTATGACAATATTATTGACTATAATCGCTAATCTGTACTTCACATTCCCTGTGACTGTTTGGTAGCTACCAATTTGTATGTTTTAATCCCCTCCCCTTTTCCACTCAGTCCCCCAAACCCCACCCCCCGGCACCCAGCAACCATAAGTCTATTCCCTGTATCTATGAGCCTGTTTCTCTTTTGTTTGTTTGTTTGTTTTATTCTTTAGATTCCACATATGGGTGAAATCATATGGTATTTGTCTTTCTCTGACTAACTTATTTCACTTAGCATAATGGTAAGATTTCTTTTTTTTATGGCCCAGTAATATTTCATTGTACATACAGGATGAGGCAAAAGTAGGTTTATAGTTATTCTTCTACACTAATAAAAGACAAAGATGCCAGTTGACCGTACCTTCGCTACGCCCTAAGCCACGCCCACCAGCCAATCAAAGAGACTATATGCAAATTAACCCTACCAAGATGGCAGCCGGCAGCCATGTGCTGGAGCAAGCAGGAGGCTTGGTTGCCCCGGCGATGGAGGAAGCCAAGTTTCCTGCCAGCCCTGAGCCAGCTGAGGCCTCTGCTCATGGCAACAAAGTTTCAATTATAGAAGACAAATAAATCCCAGATACCTGCTTCCAGCCAGCCTCCACTGGGAACTTGGGTGGCTGGGAGCATGCAGCCTGCAAACAGCGATCAGCC